TTAAGGGGGACTATATGTATATATATATATATACACGGAAACTGCTATTTAAGGTTTAGAGTTGGGCGACGCCACTCCTAGAGATCAGTATGTCCTAGTCCAATAATCAAAAATCCAATGGCAGAGAAAACGGACATGAAATGGGATCTTGGAATATAGGTGTATAGCGGTTTATAGGGTACAGGGCTTCCAAGTCAGGCGTCCCTCTTTGGGGATCCCAGCAATAAGAGGAAAAATCTGATGGGGTCTAAGCTGGGGCCTCCGTATCAATGGAAACCCTAAACCCCTAAACCCCTAAACCCTAAACCTTAAACCCCTAAACCCCTAAAACCCTAAACCCTAAACCCTAAAACTACCACATTGTTCCAGAAGCAGGCACCTTCATGGGCGCATCGGGGCGCAAATGAACTCGGCAAAAGGTTTTGTTGACGATCCTGCTCATGGGATTAAGGATTGTATAGGGGACTACTATAGGGGATATTAAGGGGGATACTAGGACTTTAGACAATGGCCCATATGAGTAGTGTAAATTTTGGTGGTTGAACCTAGTAAGGTAATATTCCTCATATAAGATACTATACCCCAAAAGGAGGATATAATCTTACTCTATATTGGGTACCATAGTATCCCCAAATAAACTACTACTCACATGGAATTGAAGGTTTACGGCGTATGCTGACAGTCCTGCATGCGCCAGAGAACCTTCTACCTTAGGGATTATGGTACTATATTGTACCAAGGTCATGCAGGATTCTTAGTATGAACAATAAGGTTTCAGGCGGGAGGTAAGATAGGTAGAAGGTAGCATGTAGCCTGGTCATATGAGCTACAGTTCAAACTCCTAGCATCCCCTTGATCAGCCCCATAATGCCAGATTTTGCCGTACATAATGCGCCTTTCAGGAATATAGACTACAGTTCATATGTTGGTTGCATGCTAACTGCTAACAGGACCTTATCAATTCCTCCCCAAACTGATGAGTCACACATCTGCTGCTGGTTTTCTTGCCATAGAGGGCCTGCAAAATCAGCATCCTGCGCCTGCTCCGTAGGGAATCCTTTTCTGCCCTTATTGACTCTTCACATACTCAATACACCCCACTACAACGTAGACCCCTACGCTGTGCATTCAAACTTGACTAAAACAGACCATTCTCGCATACCTAGACCTTCCCTAAACCCTAAACCCTATAGTTGCATCCTGATTCAGGAGGGTTCTCTGCCTGAACATGTCTCAGCACCGGCAAGACAAGCCCCAGGAAACTCCCACAATACTGCCCATGGAAGCAGGTAGGCTCTGACCAGGCCATCGGCCATTTCTATGCGTTACTAAGTCCTGTACATGTACTCTTAGAAACACCCATCTATCACCCTAACCCTAAACCCATTCTTCTGAAATCGTTCTTGGGCCTTGACGCCTGGAAGTAGTCTTGAGGAACCTGACCCTGAAACCCAGGCCATGATGTTCAAGCCCAAACCCTAACTTCTAATCCTAGAAGTGATTTAGGGTTCAGGGTATATACTCCCCCTTAAGTAGATAGAATATGGGGTATATGGGGATCTTGTTATACTATACCCAAGGCCATATTCTATCTACTTAAGGGGGACTATAAACCCTAACCCTAAGAGCATCCCTGAAAACCCCCGAGACCCTAACCCTACCTATCCAACAGTGGCCGAGATTCTGGAGCCTTTCCACATAACCCTTCAGGAGATAATCTCGCAGCATCTCCTGGCTTCAAGCGGGTTTGAGATATGAGCCGTTGTCTAAACTCCTAGTATCCCCCTTAATAACCCCTATAGTAGTCCCCCTATAGAATCCCCTATATAACCCCTTTAAGGAGTTTAGACTATAGCTCATATAGGGTTTGGAGTTTAGGGTTCAGGATCGGCTCTGCAATGTCCATAAATGACTATGGAAGCTTCCAGAAAAGTCAGCGGTTCCGGGAATCTCTAGTAGTGGGTGTTATAACCCCAGAAGCCCAGGTACCCATATAGTAGGTCCTTGGGTTATAGATGATACAAATTCATTTCGGGACTTAAGGACAGGAACCCAATATGTAGGTAACTGGGCTTCTAGGGTAAGAAGCACTAAGCAAAGATGCTTGCAGTACCGTCGACCTTGAATTTAAGCCCTGAAGACCCAGATGCTCAAAGTCCCCTAAACCCTAAACCCCCAAACCCTTAGTCTTTATCCTCTGAGCCCAGCGTCCTGGATGGTGATCTCACCTGGGTCGGGTTTAGCGTTTGTTCTTGAGACCTCTATGGACTGTGCGAAAACTCTGCATCTCCATGCTTATCTCTTGGAAATACTTGAAGCTCTCAAACCCTGATATAGCCCAGCCGACTGCTTAAACTCCCTTGCAAACGTCCCACCATCCGACCATCCTACAAATGCTCTTGGCCAATAAACCCTAATCCCTAAACCAAGCTGCTTTCTGAGGTGGTGCCCTGCGAAGCATAGTACAAGGCAACTAGCCCTGCGGCCAGTGAGAACAACAAGATCTGTCCTGAGTTGTTCTTGGCGGGCTCTGAAATTTGTAGGTTTTAGGGTTTAAGGATTGGGCTCAGCGCTTAGGATTGATTTTAAAGGACAAAAACCCCTTTCTTGAGACTTGCACAAAAAGAAATACAGTATTTGGGGATCTATAGGGTGGACCCCCCAGTGCCAGGATATTCCAATACACACCGAAACCTAGGATCCCCACTTATAATTTGAGCCTCGCAAGTTGCACAAGTAGGGGTGCCACGATCTCAAAGCCTGATAGTCCCTACACTCCAGGCCCTGAACCTTTGTTTGTGTAATCCAAACACTCCTTTTGACACAGCCCAAGCCCTACACCACAGTTGCATGCCAAGCCCCTATAAACTGTGAAGGCCCATCAAGCCCTACACCTTACTTGGAGTTTCTTACTAAGTAGTTTAGGGTGTAAGGTCAGGGGGACTTAGTAAGTAGGGTAATAATGGGCATAACTGGGATTATCATATGGCTCATAGGGGTTCTTAACCTACTTACTAAGTCCCCTTGAACCTGCAAGTACAATGCTCCTCTGATCTCCGCACCCCAGGCCTCTAAAATCCTTGTCTTCCTCAAAAGAACTCTAAAGTCAAGAGCAAGATTCGCTGGGAGTCAGCAGGACCACCTGTGGACATCTTCATGAATACCGGGGTACATCCCAATAGACTCTTATGTATATGTAGTCTTATAATACATATAACCCATGCAACAGAGGGACTGAGGGTCCAAACAGGTATGATGCATACATTCAGTACTTGCACACACACACACACACCTTAAGCCCTTTATGCCAGCGTATAACCGATAGACCCCCATATCCTCCTGCATCAACAATATATATATATATACATCTGTATCCCCTTTGCAGAGACCTAAGTGCATCTCCATTTTGAAAACCCAGCCTGTGGGCATCTTTGTATCTTTCTCTGGGCCCTTGCCGCTCTTACTGTCCTCAGCCATGGTGCTGCAGAGAATGCAGGAATGGAAACATGAAATCGCAAGTTGTCATTGTTGTCAACAATGGTATTGCTATGGTTTGGCGATTCGCGGTCGGAGTGCAGTGTTTCTGGCTTATTGCGCTTAGGATTTGATAGGGAATGAAGGCATGGGTTATGGGAAGCACAGGATTGCACAGGAGCTACTATTGAGATCCATGCCTGAACTCTCTGCTACCCAGCAGCAGGTGAGTAGAGACGGAAGGAAAGGGCAGGCGGAAGGGAGGAAATAAAGGCGGGAAGAATGAAGAGATCAGAGGTGTGTAGCCCTAACACCTCCCCCAAAACCTGTACTGCAAGCACTGCTATAAGCGTGCCAGATACCCGATTATTGAGAAAGTGACTCCTTGGATAGGGGTTTGCCGTGGCCTAAGTTGCAGCTTTGGGCGGCGAATGAATGTAAGTTCAAACGGCCAGCGGCAAGGATCGAGGCTTGGGGATCGGTATGAAGGTCGAGCA